AATTTATTAAATTATTATTATTATAATTCTAAGTATATTTATGTTATCCTTAGTAAATATATTTCTGCCTCAAGTGTTAATTCCTTGGTGTGTACCACAGCCTCTGCATGTAATTTACACTGTGAACTTTGGGCACTGAAAATAGCTCAAGACTCTTTTTTGCTATCATTTCATCTAATATTGAGTTCTAATAGTGGGTGAGGTAGCAGTAATTCTTTAAATGTAAATACATGGTAAAAATAAATGAAAATGCTGTAGAGTTCTTAGAAACATTTATCTCCTATATCAGAAAGGTTTGTTTAGTGAAAAGAAAATTATAGTTTAAATTATTCTTCCATTACAGATGTGCTTTCTTGTTTATCCTCAGTAAAAGTTGAGAGCACAACCAAAGTGGTGACTTCAGGGATCTGTAGGAGGCTAGATGGAACATATTTACAACTTTTTTTTTTTCACTAGCTTCTGCTGAACTTTGGAAAGCAGAGATACGATATTACAGATATCTTAGCTGATTTTAGTCAAAGAATCAAATTAAGAGATGAATATGTCTGCAGAACTACAGAGAAAGCAGATTAAATTAAAATATACTAGTTTATTCAGGGAAATTGCTCATAACACTCAGGCATTCTCTTATGCGTGTTAACGAGCTATGTTAATGCCAGGTCTGTGCAAGTCCAAACTGGGGAGCTGTTTTTCGAAAAGGGAGAGTGGGTCACTCACTATTTGAGTCTTTTCAGTCACTTCACAAGCAAGCGCGCACTCCTTTGTCAAAACATGGCGGTGGGGGCCTATCTGCATTATTTTGCTTGTGATGACTGTACGGCTTTTCATTATTTGGAATGAAATGTTAAAAAAAAATGTGAATATATATACTGCAATAAATTTGTCTTTGTACAGCTTCCATTTTCTGTTTGACATGTTTACAGCATAGGCCTAAAATTTATTTTGATCCTTGGCACAGAAGCTAAATTGGTATGTGATTTTCATCTCTACCAGTGTTTTAGCAAGAGATTTATACTTAGAGGATTTCTGATCTGCTCCTAGTGCTAAACATAGAGAAGCACCTAACTATGCCACCTCAGAAATTTGTCTGGAAAGGAAATTTTCACTTTGAAACTTTTCGTCTTATAGTTCTGTTCTTCTTTCCTTTTTAGTATCAGGGAGCAAAATCTTACCCTAGTCTTGTGATTGATTGAGTCTATTCTTTTCTGATCCTGCTAGAATGGAAACCTGTGGTGGAAGGAGGGTGGTGAGAGGTCATACAGGCAGTTTCAATCTCTGACAGGCATATTAAGAAATGTCAAAATATGGGGAATATAAACATAGATTGAAACCATGACAGCAGAAATTTAATAAATTAATTGTTTCTTTCATATTGTGATTAAATTAAATGTATTTATAATAAGACAAATTTATGGGGTGTATCTTAATGGAATATTTTTCTTTCAATCTAATGAATAGATATTCCAGCATCTTTGGTTTCATAGACTTTATAACAATTATCATAGAAAGTAGTATTTTAATAGAATTATGGTTGTACAGCAACATCAACCTTCTACAAATAAATGTAGACCTAGAGATGAGATCTAATGGTTTTGGATCACATTCAGAAAACATTGAACCATTTTAGCCAATATGTAATTATGGCTAGTGTGTTTTGGTAGAGTGGTATTCCTTTGTGGCAATGTAAATGAATATGTTTAAATTGTGGCAAGATTCTTACACAAAAGGGGGGTTCTCCAGTGCGTCTTCTGTGGTGTTTTGTCTCCTATTCATTGTTTGAAGATTTCAGAGATTCAGTAGTATTACTTCGGGTGCATTTTTTGCCATTTATGCTTTTTGTACTGGATAAGGATAATTAAAATACCCTGTTGTATTGAATATTTTCACTATGTAACTTTCTTACACTAGTGCTTTGTTACTGCATTTTTTTGACTAACAATGCAGGATAGGTTATGTTCCTTAAATTTTTTAGATTTATTTTTCTTTCCAAACAATTCATAAATAAATTTTATCAAATATATTTGCATCTGTTGGTCATAAAGTATTACAAAAATACCATTATTTTCAGATCATTCTAGAATGTTCCAGAGTGAGTATAACACCTATTTATTATTTACAGGACCTCGTTATGCTATACAAATAGGTGAAAAAATGATAGATTATAATGAAGAGTTCCGTCTTTTTCTATCAACAAGGAACCCGAATCCCTTCATTCCACCTGATGCTTCTTCTATTGTTACAGAAGTAAACTTTACCACAACAGGAAGTGGCTTAAGAGGGCAGGTAGGCATTTAGAATAACAACAATGTATGTATAGCAGGCTTTCATAGCTACATCCAGCTGCTGGAAGAAGCCCTGTGGTGCAGTTTACATTAATGGTCACAGAGATATTTTCGAATATAAATGGTAAAATCAATGCTGAAACTAAATTTAAATCTTAAAATCTTGGGTTTATGCACTTTGGAACAAAGTAGTGAGTCCAACAGAGAAAACGGAAACTGTCTCATTGACTTCAATTGCAAGAGATTAGTTACTAAGCTTCTGTTTTCTGCTCAAGTTGCATTTATGGTACCATGGAAACATTTCTGTTACTGCTCTCTAGTGTCCTACTTAGAGAGTAACGCTAGCATCCAGATACTTTGTGTACAGGAAAAATGTAATGAAACAAAAAAATTGTGTATTTTACTTATGCTAGTAGCTTTTGAAGTTTTTTTCTACAGCATTTAGGAAGCAAATTGTAGTGTACCGTTGGAAGAGAGAAAAAAAAGAGATAAATTAAGGGAAGAAAAACCCTCTTTATTTGGTATGAAAAAGATTTTCCAGACTAAAGAGAGGCTTAGAATGGGATGTAAATAAGATGTTGATCAGTAATAATCCAAAATGTGAAGCACGGATAACCATATGGATTTCGTTCCTCCACTGGAGATAGGAAATTGATATCATAAAGTGTAGCCAGCTGAATTAACCCTCTTTATGTGGAAATACAGAAAAAAAAAGCTTTGTGTTTTTGTTTTCTGTCTCTGTTGGCAGGAGAGGGGTTTGACTTTTGGTACACTTGCTTGAAAGAAATTTACTGCCATTCCTTCCAGTTTGTGCTTTCTATCACCTACTACTTTTTTATATCTGATAACAGTATATGCACTAATGCAGACTTCCAGTCATTTAAACACAGATGTGATTCAGACTGAGGTGCACAGCTTTAGATCTAAGCATAGTGTCCTTAATAAAGTGATCCACTGCCTTTTGACATGTCCTAGTATCTCACCTGGCTTGCATCTGCTGTTACACATAAGGGCATGGTTCACAGTGATTCCTGGGTTATACTTGACACTACAGGATGTCCTGGGTGTCTGCAACTGAGTAAACCCTCAGAAATCTCCTTTCGAAAATGTAAACTATATACTGCTATATGGTTAATGGGTGTATATTATCGTATATAGTTAATGAATATATATTACAAAATATTACAGTGGTTTTTATCCTGTTGAATAATCTTCTTCCTTTTTAGGTTTTGGCTTTAACAATTCAGCATGAAAAGCCTGATTTGGAAGAGCAGAAGACAAAACTGTTACAACAGGAAGAAGATAAGAAGATACAGTTAGCTAAGCTTGAGGAATCTCTTTTGGAGGTAAAATAAATTTACCTCTTTTATATCTGTTAGATGAACATGATAGTGTTCATATGGTTATGTGTTTGAATGAAGATGATGAAAGTGTTGGAATAATGAGCCCTCAGAATTTTTGATTTGAGAAAGTAGAGCATTATTTGCCTGGGGCTGTTGTTAGAGTAAAGTAGATAAAATATGTACATCTATCATGAGACTGTAGTATTTCAATACGTTAAGCATTGTCAAAGTTAAACATATGAATTGTTGGACCAGATACAAGCTGATTTAGATTGATTAGAAATGTCGTTAATTTTAATGCGTTAAAAAAGAGAAAACATTTTAAAAATTATTTCTTTTTCAAATTATGAATTAAAAAAAAGCCACATATTTAAGCTTGTGAATCATGTCAAATGGTACTTTCACAGGATGAGAAATGATTCTGTGTTGTAAAAGGAAAATTCCCAGTAGAAAATGGAAAGATTTGTTGAGACAGGCATTTAAAACTTTAAACCTCAACAATTGTTTCTTTTAGCAATGAACTGTAATATTCTTTATAATTATAATTTTCCTTTCTCCTGTTTCAAATTAATTTTCTCAATTTTCAGTTTACCTTTTTATTTTATTCAAAGTACTCATGCTCAGAAACAGTTGTACACCTCTAACAAAAAGTGGCTTCCAAGGAAGACCGTTTCTTTTTCATTTGCATCTTGTAATGGATTTTCACATGAACTGTACTTCATGCCCATATGAATGGATCCTCAAATCCTCCTTCCTTCTAAAATGTCACAGATGCAGGGAGATTGACCTGCTGCCTCAAAACCCTCAGTCTGTAGCCAAGTCATAGAGCTTTGCAGTATCCAGCACAATGGGCTTGATCATAAGCTAATGGTTTTTACAGATTTCTCAAAAAGTAATAAACTGAACTTTAATAGCCTGGCCATTTATAGCTCAATTTTAGAATTTCACACATAATTATCTAATGTGATTTGAATTTCCACATTTACTGTCCCTATTAAACTCCCTATTAAGTCTCAAATACTAAGCTCAATTTTTTAAAATTGTGATGGGGCAGATTTCTCTTACAGGCAGAGGGAAACTTGTTCTTTAAAAAACTTCTTAATGTCTACCAGAGGCTGAGAGTTCAGAGAAGCAATGCCCACTTTTTTAGAACAGACTTATTATGTGATCTTGGAACTCCGAAATCTTTCACATTTGTCCAATCTGAGTAGTCAAGTGCAAAATTTCAAGTATTTGATGTCTAAGATATCAGCAACAAAAAGTGGTCAAGTATTAACACCGAGGCGGGTTTCAACTTTGGCATTGTTGTTAGTGCTGAAATCAGAATACCCTTTGACACTGAAGAAAGAAACCTAAAGCTCAGTGGAAACTGACAGGTGCTACATGGACATGAAAGTCAGTGCTGGAGGTGAATTAGCTAAATTCAAGTTAAACCTAAAGCAACATTAGCATTCCATCTGAAGTACTGTACTGGTTTTCTTCCAAAGCCTTGGAGTAAAGACATGCATGCTGTGTCTACCTCATATTGTAACTGGTGCATCTCTGCTTCCAAATATTCTGAAATACTGTCCTACAGCTAGTTATTCACAACTGACTTAACTCACAAGAAGCCAGTTTTGTAGTGTTGTCTGACAAAAAAATTCTATTGAAATGTATTTACTGAAGGTTAGTAAAACCCTTAAATAACAGTGAATCATTCAAGCTTTCCCACTGCTATTAGAAATGAAATGGTTTGCACAGGAGAACTCAGGGAAAATGTGAGATAATCTCAAGGATTTTGAAGGCATCCCTGATTGCAAAACTGAAATTGTTGTAATTGTGAATATTCATCTCAGTTGGAAATGAGAACTAAATTTATAGGAGATATTGGAATGTTTTTGAAGGAAAATGAGTTTATGGATGACTGGGTACAGGAAGTCATTACAAGTAGCCAATTTTGGGTTAAATTGATAGTTAAATAGAAGGAAAAATACCCTAATTTGTGTTTGCTGTGGTGATATTAGTGTGTCAGACTCCGATCATAGAAATCGTTCTCAAAAGCTTGCTGATGACTTAGATTTCAGAACCTGGCAATCTGGATTTTTGGAGTTTGTTCTTGGGTGTTGTTTTCTGTGCTTGTTTAAAACAACATCTCAGCTTTTGAGGTAACCACCTTCTTTCTAGTACTCTTGATGCAGTCAGTGATTCAGAAATATGTACAGGTCAGAAAGAAGGAGAGCATCCAAAGTGGTTACTTTACGTTTTGGGTTTTTTTGATGTAACATAAATGACTTTTTTTTTTTTTTTTGGCAGACACTTGCAACATCACAAGGCAATATACTAGAAAATAAGGATCTAATTGAATCTTTGAATCAGACTAAAGCAAGTAGTACACTCATCCAAGAATCACTTGCTGAATCTCACAGACTTCAGAGTTTCCTTGATAAGGTAGAAGAATATTTTAATCTTTTATTGCTGTGTTTTTCCTGCTAAAAGTAGCCATCTTCTGTATAGAGAGGTTATATACATCCATAGGAGTATAAGATACTCAGTAACATACTGAATAAATTTTTTGGAGTAAAAGATATTTGGGATATGCAAGTAAAGAAGGTATTTTCAGTAATTAAATTCCTTAGTTTTACACATGGTGAATAGCTACACAATTTAAAGTCTGCCGGATTGAATTAAAGGAATTTTCCCTAAAGACTTATTGGCAAGTAATGGGTTTTGATTTTATTTTTGCCATCTGCGATTGGAAACAGTATGGCTCATATGGATGTTCTTAAAAATTTAGATCACTGGTGATGCTATTCATCTGGCATGCTGTTTTTGTAATGCACTACAGAGTTTTCCTCCATGTTCTTATTTGTTTAGTTTAAAATTTTCTGTTGAATTCTGGGATGTGTTTGGTGGGAAGAGACCTCAGTGCCCTCAGGATTAATTTTCAAAATGTTCATCATAATTTGAAGGATTTTTTGCTAAAAATGCTTTCTTACAATTTTGAAATCTAAAGACAGTGTTGGAGTCTTGAGTGCATGTCCCTCAGTTTGAAAAATTGGAAAGGATTCAGTTTTTTAAAGCAGTGGGAATCCAAATGTTTTCTGGTGAGATTAATATATGTTTATGCCATAACCGGTAGATGGCAGTAATGTACTGGGGTTTTATGTTATTTTTTTTTTTTAATCCACAGGAGAGGGACGCCTATCTCCCTTTAGCTGAGAGTGCTAGCAAGATGTACTTTATTATATCTGACTTGTCCAAAATTAACAATATGTACCGTTTTAGTTTGGCGGCTTTCCTGCGGCTTTTCCAAAGGGCTCTGCAAAGTGAGCAGGTATTTTCTCTTTTCCTGAAGCTGTTAATGCTGCAGAATAATCAATCTGTTTTGATCTTTAGAATTTGATAGTTGCTGAGGACATTTATAGAAAATCGTGTATAATAACTGATGATGAAATGTGTAATAAATAGTGATGCTGAACTGTTGTGCTTTAGATATTCAGAATACACGTATATGGAATTTTTAATGATCTTACATTACATATAAATCATAAAATTACTGTGTCGTCTGAAAACAAGGTAACTTATTTGTAATTTCAGGCTTGCTCTTTGTCTAAGGTGAATTAGGAAAACCAAGGTTGATTATAACTTTACTGAAGGCTTTATTTAAATAAATTAATGATCTAATTGCAAATAATGCTGATTCTATCAACAAGGGGTAGAATGAGAAAAGGCCTATATTTCTACATGGTTCAGTTACTGAAGATCAAAGCTTCATCTACTTTTATACAGTTTGTAAATGTGCATGCAGCCTGTCTTGTTGAAAATGTAATCTCTACTTTTCTTTATTCTAGTGGCCAGTATATTCTTCTTACTGAAGCACAGAATTGTGGATTCATCCCTTGTCACCTCACTCTTTAAATCTAAAAACTTGCACTGAATAGTGATGCATTTTTTTTTCATTTAGCATCTCCAAAATTCATTTTATTTCTCTTTGTTTCTTCTTTAAAAAGGCATTAACCAGCCTTTCATCATGTTGCTTTTGGATTCCTCTTTATTCTGACATCTGTGCTTACAGCTTTCCGTCAGCTCCAGTCAATACCAGGAAATGGTTCTGACTATGTGAATTGCCCTCTCTAAAGTACTTTACCTATTACTTCTTT